GTCCTGGAAAATCATTAATTTCACACTGCAGCCTCCGTCTAGTTTGGCTAATGTGGGAGTACCAAATTGGGGTACATAACAAACACACAAATCCTAGGGAAACATTTTTCAGATTTTCATGATTTGTTAATGAAAGTATTTAATAAAGCAGAGGTAGATGGTGGCTTCGCACACTAGTCAGTGAGAAAGGAAGAAAGTTTGTGGCTTTCCTTTGGGGGAAAATATTAAATTTAACTGAAGTAGAAAGCACTGCCAGGGAGATGCACCGAGATTGCGTCACTCGCTGTTAATTTAATCTACTTTACTTGGTCTGTTCACACTCTTTATTGCACAAAGAAATCATTTGACAAAATTTACCCCAAGCCCAAGTCTGTTTTTACATACAGTAGTACCAGCTTAGTGCAATAAAAAACACTTAGCATCAAGCTGGACCCAGCCTGGCACCTTGCCACTTTTTTAGCATGAGATTTAATCACCAAGGATCTTTAGTACCTTTCTGCTTGTTCAGATTTCATTTGGGTCATGGCTATGTCAGCAGTGTTGTTATTTCAAGGATTAAAAAAAAAAAAAGATTCTAACTTAGAGCCCACTTTTAACATTATTTCAAATGAAGCAGGTTTTTATGTTATGTGTCAATTTGGAGGATATTAATAAAGTTCATAAAATATGTTCAGACTATATAATTTAATGGATAATGATGAATATTTTTATTTGTAATACAAAGAGGAAATTGACCATTGTATCTCTCCCTCCTTCTTTACCTGAACCTAGGTAAATAAACATCCTTAAACACCTTCTCCCTTTTACTACCAGGGTATAGAGCACGGGCCAATATCAGTAAATTTACCTTTGTAATTTGCCACGTAGTTTTTACAACATGACCTAATTAATTTGAGCATGAACCATATTATTGCTACTGGAGTCATTTTCTGTCACAAACTTAATTTCCAGGAAATGTAACCTGACAAATAAGAATTCTTTAGTTCTCTACATGTGCTCCTAGAGACCAAAGACAGATTTAAAATAATAATAATAAAAAAATGCCAGCATTATTAAAGCCAGTATGCTCGATGCCAAACTCAATTTGAAGCCAGTAAACATCAGACTGTATTTCTAATCAGTTTTAGAATGTAACGTATTCCATATTGGGTTCACTGGAATTTGTCTCCCTGCTTTTTACTGGCCAGCTGCACTCCCTATGCATTTTTAAAACATTTCAGCAAAGGCTTTTGCTGTTCTTAGCAGGGTTAGTAACTTGGGGTCTATTTCTGAGCTCATTCGTCATTCTGCGATGGCATTGAGTTAGGTTGGCAAGGGAAGGATTTGAGGCATGGAGGGTGGTGAGGTCACTTCTGATCCCAGCAGGGAATAGGTGAGCTTCATTTGCCTTTACAATAGGCGCACAGTTACTGCACCTTGGAGGAGCTCTCAGGTGCTGCTCAGATGGGCGCATGTAAATGCCCTGTCAGATGCGGAGCCGGAATATTAATGCTTCTTCCACCACTGCACCATAATAAAGCTGTACACAGCAAGCTTAATATGCAGCTAGTCTGGGGAATTGTATAAACTTAGATAGCCCAGTGTGAAAGACAGCAATGGAAAAATGCTCGATATGCCACAGTTTCCATTCTTGTTCTTCTTTGATCTATAGCAAAATGAAAACATCATCCTTTCCTTCTCTTGGAGTTGTCTCCCCAACTCTGCCACCTCCCAATCCCCCCCCCACCAGAATTTTTTGCATGTGCTGGTATGGAGAAATGCAACATAATTTGTTTCATATGGTTAATTACAGGCGTTTGAATATTTAAAATTTTAAATAGCCACAGCTCCAGCTTTCCCTGTTAAAAGTATGTGATTTGAACAAAGGGAGTACAGTGTAAATATTTGTGGTGATTTGCAACACCCCTCTTTCCCCATTAAACACACACACACATACACACACACAGACATTCAGCTTAAATCTAATGCTGACTTAATGCACTTCTTTACCTTCATTTGTACTTTTTTGTTTTAACCAATTCTCAGTTGGAACTCCATTAAATATTTCACCATTATATTTTTGAGCCTATGTTGCTTTAGGTTTTAAAGAAGATTTTTTATACTGTGTTCATTTAACAGAATCAACAGCTGTCAGAACCAGTTGTGGTAGATCCACACAAAGTATAAAGAAAAATACATGTTTCCTGAAACAAAACACTTGGAAAAATAAGCTGCCAAGAGCTGGCAAATTAGAAGTTTGCAGACAGGCACCCGAAGTGTTTCATCTCTTGGTTCACCCTAGAGACGGCTCTGAGCAGATCTGATGCAATGCTGCTGGGAGGCTCACCTGAGCAGGTTGCCGCTCCAAGGCTGCGAGCCGTGCACGGTGGACAAGGGCACCACAGTCGGCTGAGCCCCAGCTCTCTTCCTTTTCTGCCCTCCTTGTTTCTTTCTGATCTCTTTCGTAGATAAAATACCAAGTTCTTAGAGTGCTAAACAACAAATTATAGCCCACTGAAGGTGAGATGATCAGGTTCAAACTTCCTGTAAAAGAGGCGAGAAGGCGCCTTGCACACACCCTTTTCCAGATAGGGTTGGCAGCATGTTATTCAGAACTGAATCGGTCTCCGTCTCCGCCAGGGAATTCCCAGTGGGAACCTGGAGCAGGTATGTTGATGAAGGGGATACCTGGGGACCTTTGGTCACTCACAATGAGTTTTTGTTTGTATCCTTACTGTTGTTAGCATTGGCACCGAACAATTACACCTACAATTTGATCTTAGTTTTAGATAGAGGCCAATCCACTGATTAAAAACTCCCATTAAAATAAAGAATGGAATTATTGTGAAACCTGCAAAGGTGTTTTCAGAAACAACACCGGTGCCGCTGTGTACCCACCTCCTCTTTCTCTTTTCTTTTTGAACTTTCTGAAAAAACACAAACTGGCTTCCTGCTAAGCATCAGGGCATTTAAATTTATATTCATCAGTTGTTCATTTTCTTGATATGTAATGATGCATAAAAAAAGTGGCAAAAAAAATCACATCTGTTAATTTTTAGGGAAATAAGGTGTAGCTTGGATTCTAATGTTAGTTGGAGCATAAAGCAGCACTAGGTGCCGAGTCTGATCTTAGACATTTTAAGTGTGAAGTTTCTCTTTGGTCAATAAAATCCCCCAAAACAGAAAAACCTTAAAACCCCCAAAGAACCCAACCTAAAGTATTTTCCTTCACCAACTGAAGGTATACCTTGATTTCATGATTTATTTACATTTAGAGAGAAGCCCACAATGGACCATTTACTGCCTATGCTAACTCCCCCACCCCAAATCCTTTGAGTTCCCAGTTAAAACAATGCATCAACCAATGTTAAATCTTAAATCCCGTGAGTTTCTCTCTCCTACTCCATCCCACCCTAAGATTAAAAAAAAAAATTATTCCTTTACATTTAAAAGTGAACATTGGCTACTGAAGAATGATTTAAAGGCTGAAAAAAATTTTAATAATAAATCGTAACCTTCTCATGTTATGTTTTTGTTATGTTAAGGGGAAAAATCAATAAGGAAAAATTTAATTCTGATAAAGATACTCTTGGATCTTTGAAAACAACTGCTGTCCTTTTAACTAAAACATTTGAGCAGCTTCAAAGACTACGTATTTCTTCTGATCTTGGAGCTGTGTGACTGGTAGCAAGAAAGAAAAAAAAATCTTATTCTACATACAAGTGGATTGCTTAACAAGTCAGCACAGACACGTACTTGTTTGTACAATAGAGATAAAAATTCCTGTATAAAAATAATTCAGCTGCTGACAGCAGGCATTGTTGTTGGACCTGTCTTTTGTGCTTGTCCCAGCCCTGGGCCCCCCTCCCCTTCTATCTGCTTGGGGCAGCCTGCTGCCTGCAGACTCCTGACCAGAAGTTAATCGCTATATATTAAATATATAGGTATTGTATTTAAAGAGGACTATCTCAAGCCTTCCTATATGCATTCCACTTTACTTTCTGATGTGATTGCAGCATTGCCAGCAGGGGGGTGGCAGGCAAATGCTCTAATAGGGAAAATCACTTGAAGGCAGTTAGGGGAAATTTGGCCTTCAAGTCCCATTTGCTCTGCAGTGTAGCATCGGTTTCTAAACTTTTGTTTTTAATCTAATTCTGATTTACCTTGTCACATCCCATATCAACCCTCATTGAACTCTACTCATGTAGAGTAACATTAGTGTCAAATGGAATTGGTCAGGACTGTGGACCTGTGGCTCGTACAGATGGTTGTGGATGCGGGTTCCATGCGGCTCTGCATCCTATCCCTTCTAATCAGCGTTAAAATGTGGTGCGTTTCTGAGCAGGGCCCAAGGATAAGAGAGTTAAGAGATCAGGGGTAGCACCTGAGGTTTTCTCCTTACTCTTTCTTTCCTGCTCTTTCTCACTTCCTTGATATATCCATGTTTCCAGTAAGATCAACTCCAGGAAAAAGTCAGATGGGGGCTGGAGGGGCAGAGGGTGGCTGAGAGAAGTTCCTGGAATGTTTTTCAGTAGGAGTTCAAACAAAATCCCCACAGCAGAGAGCTTCTGGGTCTAGCAGTGGAGCAGGAAGCTCGGACAGGTGGCCCTTTCGAAGCTGTTATTCTCAGCCTGACTTGCAGGACAGCTGGGACAGGACTTCCCCGTACGTTCCTGCTTCCACCTGGGTTGGGGTGTTTGGGGTGGGAGGAAGAGGAAGGCTTCATTGGGAATTTTGTCACTGGGATTTTTAAAATGTCAGGAGGTTAGTAAGGTGTGAGTTAGCATTTGAGGAAAGGATCCTCCCCCAGACTGGTAATTGGGAAGCATGAAAATCTAAATTCCCATGACTCTCTAATAACGGGGGTGTGCTGGTGGCAGTGCGTGGACACCACAACTTTCTGAGTGTCAGCCGATGTCTGCGTGACCCATTCGTCTTGGATTAAATGCTGCCAGTGCAGCACTGGGGGAATCAGAGAGACAGATACCAAACGACAGGATTTTCACTCTTCAGAAGTAAGCCAGACCTCGCTCCTCTCCCTCATCTTCCTTCTTCTCTTTTCTTGCTCTTTTCCCTTTGGAAGCAGAAACTTCTAAAATTAATGCCACTCCAAGCCGATGAAAAAGCTGTTTTTATACCACAGTGGATGTTTACACAGGAGAGACAACTTGAGGGGAAAAAGGCTTTTTGGGAGGGTGGAGGGACTCGTGTTAATCTGTTCTGTTGGAGGACTGTGCAGTGTTGCCTATGAGCAACTCTGGGCTGTTTTTGATAAATTACCATGTTTAGAGATAGGTTTGGCTCTTAAGGGCTTAGTTTTATGAACAAAGTCCGTAACGATGTTTGCAGCCTCTGTTTGTCTCTTAGCCCCTTTGGCTTGACTAGAAGCTCTATGTTTAGTTTAAGCTCAGTCTGGAAGATATAACAATTTTGCATTAAAAAAATGAGGAAATCATAGGAAGAAAAACCCTTTGCTTTTTGGATGAATCTTACTGATAATTTGCTAAAGCTCATTTGAATTTTAAGCACTTCTTTAATCTTCAAAGGCTAAATTGCTTTATGAATATGCATGGTGTGGGCAGACTTCAGTTCATTACCTAGTTGTAAATTCTAATGACCATTAGGTCCTTCCAGTAATTGCGAATTGTTTTGCATTTTTGATTGGCCTATTAACATGTACATTCGGTGCACATCAGGCTGGCCTGTCAGCCTGCTGAAGGAGAAAAAAAAGGTGAAAATTGTTTATAGCACCAAGATTCTTAGATTTTCAATCTTGCAAAATTGATGATGTAAAAAAATTAAAGCAGTGTTTTTTCTTCTCAAGATTGAAAGTTCACCAAGAGATTTGACATATTTAATTTACATGATGACTTTGCACTCCTTCATTAATGCAATTTGCATATGAAGCTGTTGTTAATCACTTTTGATCATGTTTTGTGTATTAGCTGCCTCAGTGGCTCTCCTCAGATGCCCCAGTAGAAAGGAGCAAAATGATGCATCTTCTTGCCAAGTTTCCTTTAGTGAATTGAGGAATTAAAAGTCTAACCTTGAGTAATTACATATGTTTTATCCGTTTTCTTTTAACGTTAAGTACAGTTTGTGGACGTGTTGGCTGGAAATCGTTCTCATTTGGGGAGAAGACTGTAAAATTCAAGTATATGATTGAGGCACTTCCAGATATGTACAGAAATATGTAATGCCTGTCTCTGTGTCCCCACAGACACTGTTGGGCATTTTTATTGTTAGAAAGACTAGGCTATTCCAGCGTATTAAGACATCAGGCTCCTCCGTTGGAAGAGAGAAGGCTTCACGTCTACAAACCTTTCTAATGATGCTTTGGGTTTCTTCCTTAAATATATGGCTAGCACCTAGACATCTTGGGCCTGGGTTTAGCTGACTCCTTTATCTTTTAGATCAAGTAAGATTTCCTGTTCCGCTGCTGCTCTGAGCTGCAGTGTGTCCTCCCTCTTCTCTAAAGTAAATCTTGGTCTCTGGGCTCCGGTCCTCCCTCAAGGTACACGAGTGCTCTGGTTGTGAAAACAAGGTGCTAAATAACGGTTTCCGATTTTTGAGAGCCTGTGATTTTGGTGTTTGCCTTTGCTGTTGAATAGCCTGTGCTGTATTATTGATGTTCATCTTTGGTTTATGAGTTTATCACTGGTTAACAAGCAGAATCAGAACGCTGAAACTGATATTCTGATTAAAAGGAATGTTTAATGAAAGAAAATAAATTGTGATGGAAAATGAACAGTGTGTAAGAAACATAACTATAATTTTAACCTCAGAGGGACCTGGCTTTGCCCTACTGTGACTTCCATCCATACCATGCTAAAAGCATGCTTCAGTTCAAAGTTGTTAATATTCAGCTGGGAAACAGTATCCAGAACACAAATAAATTATTAAGTGCATGAACTTTTTAGGCAGTAAGATGAACTGATGGGGTCCATCTGTGAGATCCAGGGGCTTTTTATTTGTGTGTGTCGAGCGATTCTGCCCTCTCCGACTTCACAGCCTTTGGTCTCCGGCCAACTGCATGCATAATTGATTCCACACGCACTATCATTTTCTTGATGTAATTGCTTTACTAAGATATGATGAAATCTAATGGATAATTTGCTATTTGAAAATGGGCAAAAAAATCTTCATATGGGGGTGGGTGGTAGTGGAGAAAGGGGTATTCAGATGACCTGGTATTTAAGAAAACAAAACAAAACAGGCAAGACTAACTTATGCATGCTGCTTCGGTCGTGTTGGCTGTGGATAGGAAGGTCTTTGTGACATATGGAAGCCAGTGTATAAATCTCTCTCTTTCTATCTCGCATCACCCCCCTTCATTCCTTCTCTCTCTGTCTCTCCACCAAACTTTACAAGAAAGGGATCCTAACAAGGTAAAAAGTAAACAATTTAGTCATCACAAGCCTTATTATTCAGTCTATCCAGGAGTTTTGCCATGTCGGTTTATTTAACTTCCAGGAATGTAAACACTGACACAGCCCTAGAAGCAGCAAGAAAGATTACAGTATTAGAGTTAAAAACGTGAGCATGGAGTAGCTGTGCTTTATATTCTGCTATAATAACACTTTACATTGAAACATAATGGGTAAGTCAAAACCACTGGAAACTTCTGCTTATATGGAGTACAAATTTCATTCTGATAGATTGGCATAACCTGGTATACCCAGGGTAGATTGTTACATAATGGAGAAACTGTATAAATGTCAAGTATACAAATAATTGTACAGGAAGTAAATGAAAAGTATTAGAATTTCTTAAATCACCATTAGATTTTGTTGGTGGGACAATCTCATTAGCTCCCTCAAAATCACGTGTGGCTTTGCATAAGTCTTTTGAAAATGTATTTTGAGGAAATTTACGGACGTTGAAACATTGTTTTAATCCAAACCAGTTCATGCTTTAAATGTACCTTAAAAAAATCGTACTGTTTTTCAAAGTACTTAAAGGGAGTGGAGGGGTAGAAAGCGTATAAAGTGAATCCATCTCACTGTGGCAAACTGTTTTTCAAGTAAAGTCATAATAATGAACAACACATGATCTGAAATTTGATCAGCAAACATATACTTATGCCAAGGAATTTTCTTTCTTTTCTTTTCTTTTTTTTTTTTTTGTTGGCCATTCATATACCAAGGTTCTGTAAATCAGTAAACCAGGCAGAGAGTAGCTATTATAAGGGGGGAACCAAATCATAATACACAGAATGGCACAGAAGCTGTCTTTTTGAAGAAACATTAACACCATCACCACCACTATCACCAAAAAAGTTAAAAAAAAAAGACCTTTTTACAAAACTGGAAATGACAGAATAGTTTTAAAAGGAAAAAAAAAAACCACCTTCTGATGCTCAAAACTTCAAACTATTAATAGACCACCAGTGAGATAGACTGTCTTTGTGCCTTGAAATGCAAAATGAGGGAAATAATTAGCAGAGGAACAAAATTCTCAAAATTTGAAGAACTTGTGTGATTACTGGGGGTACAGTGAAAAGAAAATGCAAATTTCTTCCTGATCTTAATTAGATTCGATTGTGCGGTGGGTGTGTTGGATTTGGGGGGAGGGGAGGGGGCAGGGCGTGCTGGGGTGAGGCGTGAGGCTGAGTGATGTGGAGACAGGTTAGCAGGGGCCTGGCGGTGTGGCAGGAACAAAGGCAGCTTCCAGCGCTGGGTGCAGTATGCGGTGCCTCAGCACAGATGCTGGTGGTACCGGAATCCTGAGCCCTTCGTTTAGCTGGGCTCATTTCCCCCTGGGTCTGTGGGAAGCCATTTGTCCTTTGAGGGGCGGGGTGGACATTAACAAAACAGCCGGGGCTGGCTGAGGAAGAGGAAGCAGCCTGTGGGTAACTTTTCCTGACCACATGGGAGAGCTGGGTAAGACGCTGTGGACCCTGCTTGGGCGCAGGGGCCATTGGCTTCTCGTGGTGGTGTCTGCACAGGGGCCCCAAGTCCAGGCCACCGCCAAAACACACTCTTTGGAGTTTACTGGTCAGAGTCCTGCCAAAGTGTGTGTAGCAAGTTTCGTTGGCTGGATTTCCCCTTGCGTGAAATAATAAAAGCCCTGGCCAAGGCGCATGAATCTATTTTTGTTTCATTAATATTATTTATTATGTATTTTATTAATATTTTTTTGGAGGGACTGTGCTCTCATTTGACCAATTGTAGTTATAATTAATACATTCCGTACTGGTTGTAAAAAGTGTGCTTGGATTTAATTGCAAGTCAGGATAAATTAATGGATATGATTTAAAACAAAACTCACTTAAAATATTCTTGCAGGGAGCAGAGGAGGGGCAGTCCTAACAGTTAATTTATTTGCTGGGTGAGTGTCAATGGCGAGAGGGTCGAAAGGATTGTGCGGGTCTAACGGGATTCGTGCATGTGTGTGCAGGACCGTGGGGGCCACAGAGAGGGAGGAGGAAAACCTGGGCAGGAGGAGGGGCAGCCAGGAGCTCGCTTCTTTTCTTTAATTTCTGAGGTTGCCAGGAGGGGCTTAAGCAAAGTGGTCAAGTCCATCTGCTCTGGAGAAGGTGGTAAAGAAAAGAGGTTAGTGGCAAGAGGGAAGGAGCACAAAGGGAAAATTGTACATTGGGAGCGTTCCTCTCTCTGGCCGTGGTGTAGCCAGACTGGTTTAGCAGACAGAATGATAGATTGTTTTGTCAAGGGTCCCAGGGTGCGCCCTGAACTTGAAGCACTTTGTTTATCTTGAATAGAAAGGGAAAAGCGCAGACATAATCGATGTCTAGTTTTTAGGAGCTCGAAAGAGGTAGGAGAACAGAGAAGACTCCGGGAGGGGTGGAGGGCGGTGGGGGAGGTGCAGGCCCTGGTGGTGGCTGTCCATTAACAGATGAACTTGGCCGAGGGCCAGGCTTTAGATGAGAGTGTGTCAGGGCCCCAGTGCAGCCAAGCCTTTTCAGTGTTGTTTTTTTTTTTTTTTGTCTTCTTTTTCTTTCTTTCTTTTTTAAATACCTGCTGACTGTACATCAAATGCTCCCAGGTCTTTTGGCTACAAGCAGGAAAAAAAAAAGACAGCTCAATTTTTTTCCCCTCTGAACCAGTTGAGGCCAGTCTTTTGGCTACATACACGGGTTTTATCATCTTTCCTGGCTTGGGGGGAAAAAAGAGTTGTGATAACACCAGTAACCCGTGGGCCAGAATGGGAAGGCTTTGGCTGTGTTCTGGCGACCAGGTGTGTGAGGCCCCTGGGACAGGTGGGCGTGGCGTGGCCAGTGGGCCTGCGTGGATAAGGTAGGAAGTTGGTGGAAACTAATTTCTTTTAAATGGCTGAAGTTTAACTTGTTGGAAAGGACCTGTAAATTAATCTGTCTGTGGCCGAGAAGAATAATATGCAAGAAAGGCCCAGTGAAGGTGGCAGCCTTTCCCAGGCAGGGCTGGTGGCAAGCCTATGTGTTTGGGCTTGTTTTGTTCTCGATTATCTTATCTTCTTTGGTCTGTTTCTGTGTTTCTTAGTTTACTGTGGCATTATGCATTCATATATGAGTGCTGGCAAGCAAGAGTCATCAGCCCAATGACTTCCTGACATTTTTAGCTGTTTTAACGTATGGTCTTTGCCCTCCTGCCACAAGTGGGGAGGGAATTGAATTTCCCCGTTACTTCCTGGTGGGAGGCATGTTCTGGTTCTCACCAGATCTGGGGCTAACGCCACGTTCACAGACTTCCACCTAGAGAACACCAGGGCTTCCAAGTGAGTGGTTTAGGGACCTGTCTGAAATGCGATTCACACAATATAAAATATTTTTCCCCACCATAGACTTGAAAAGTCACCATTGTGAACATCCATATAAAATGTGCTAAAATCACGTTTACTTCCCCAGGCTGAGGCCTCCTGGGGTTGGTGGGATTTCCTTTTCCTTACCTAGTAGCAAATAGAAACTGGGAAAGTGTGGGGCCTCTGGGCTCATCCCACAGATAACCCACAAGACTCAGCCACGCCCTTAGATGCGGTTTCCCTCCCACCTGGGTGTCTCTGTAACCTGAGCTGGTAAGGAAGGGAGGAGGGGCTGGAAGAGGGGAAATAAGCCCTAAGAAATATGTTTTATCTCTTTTCTTTTCCTCTTCAGCCTTTGGTTAGATGAAATAAAATGGTTTAGGTTGAGGGTGAAGAGGTACTGCCATTTCTAGCTGTGTGACCTTGGGCAGATTTCATCTCTCTAAGCCTCAGTTTCCTCATCTGTGAAGTTGGGGGAATCGTAAGGCCCCATCCATGACAGGGCCTTGGAACATCACGTGAGAACACCTAGGGGCTTTTGGCTCAGTGCTGGGCACATGGTAAAGCACTTAACAAAAGCCAGTTAACGGCTATGATTATGACTCATAGCTTGGACCTTTCTCCTCCTATAACGAACTGGGGTCTCCTACAGTGTCCCCTGTGTGGGGTGAGCATGTTGGGTTGAGAGCAGGGCAGGGCGGGTAGGGGTCTTAAAGACCTCAGGGTCTCTTTATGCCTCCAGGTGGGCTCCTTCCTGTCTGAGCCTGTGGGGAAGGCCTTTGGGTGGAGACAGCTGGGTGGCCTTTGCAGATCTGGGGAGGAGGGGGGATGAGGAGGTGCTTCCTGCCATAGACAGCTCTCCCAGTGCTGTCCTCCTCCGAGGGGCTTGTTCCTGGTCATGGGGCACAATTGCTCTGCGTTCAGGTTTCTGCTTCACCACTAGCTGGTTGGGAGAGTTTGGGCAAATCATTTAACCTGTTTGTGAAATGGAGACAACCCAAAGTCCTTATCTTACAGGGTCCATGGGGAGAGTAAATGAGAGAAAGCCCATAAATTACTTGCCTCATAGGATGCACTTTGAGAGTCGCTATTGTCAGTGCTATGTGTCTGACACATGGCTGCTCCAGCCCACAGCAGCTCTGGGAGGGAATGACTCATATTCACCCCATTTGGTAAGGGAGGAAATTGGGTCATGAAGGGGTTAAATAACTTCCCTGAGGGTCCACACTTAGTCCTTAGGCTTCAGTTGTTACCCTCTGCTACCTCCCCTATAGGTTTGCAGCTTTCTGCCCTGGGGCTGGGCACCAACTGGGCAGGAAGCTCTGGTGCTGGACTGTTGCCCCTCCCATGGGTTCTGTGGTCAAGTTTTTCAGTCTTCTGGGAAAGAGAAGAATGTTCCCCTGAAGCCCCTGGGCGGTTGTCCTGGACATATTATTGGAGGATCCTTGGGGCTGTTGGGAAAAGTTGCAGTGTAAGGAATTCTGCTTTGCAAGTAGTCACTCCCCCATCTGCCCAGAAAGAGCCAGAAAGCACGGGGAGGGTCCCTAGAAGGAGAGGGAGGAGGCTTTCCCGCCTGTGTGTGCCTAAGACACCCGCTGTGACTTCTAAGGGCTGGTCAAATCAGGCTCCCGGCAGTTCTGTGTGTTGTCTCTGATCACACCTTCACAGGGCGGGGAGACGGGCATTACCCTGCGAGGACAGGCTCCGTGACTGTGAGAGTGTGTGCAGGGGGTCGGGGACCGTGGGTGCTGGGGGAGAACAGTCTGCTTCAGGGAGGTTTTCATTTCTGGCCGAACGGGCGCTGTGGTAAGGCGAGTCCGGAAGACACGCTGGAGACTTGAGGGAAGTTTTGAATGGAAACTGCAGTCAACAACTCCATATGATCCACATGTGGCTTTTCCTGAGGCAAGTTTTCAGCCGCGTGGTGGCCTCTCCCAGTCACTCCCCAGGCTGCTCTGACACCGTTAACATTTGCTGAAGCGAGACCTGAGGTTCCTTGCAGAGGGATTACATAACGTATTCCAAAACCAAATGCCAGTGTTTTCCTCGTATTCCCCATCCTTTCAAATTGGTGGGGCCACCACAGACCTCCATTATACAGTTCCAGAATCATTTGGTAGTTAGGAAGCGCCTACTGTGTGCAGAGACCCACGGGGGAGTGGAAGGGTTGGCCTCAGCTCTGGCGAGTGTTGGACGGGAGCCCTGCTCACGTGGTAAGTGCTTCTGCTCCAACCCAGGGAGGCTGTTCAGATCCGTCACCAAGAGGTTGCCGTTGATGTGCATCCAGGTGGTCTTCTGGGTTGGAGGTGGGGACGGCCGTAACTGCTGAGAATTCCTGTGGGTCAGAAGCTCCAGACCTTCAGGTTCAATTCTCACTCTGCCCTGGGCCTGGCCTGGCCATCCTCTGTGGAATCTGTACAGGTCTTTCTTGCCTCTTTGCTTGGCTCTCTTTGTTGCCTCTACTTGCTCCTGGTTCAAGAGCATAAGGAATCTCCCTGATCACCCCTGAAGAGAAGCTCTTAGTTTCATTTACTGGGACTCCTAGACTGAGAAAGCTGAAATGATAAGAGGAGTATCACTGCTTTAGAACCCTTACTACTACCCCCCCCACCTCCCCCCAGTTTTCCTTCTAGTCCTTTGAAAATCAGGCCAGATCTCTGATGGTGGCCTTTTATTTCTTTTCTTTATTTGGTTCTGGCTTCGTTAGGTAAGCGCAAATTTAATGTCCCAAGAGGCAGGCCGGGTGACCCTTCAGGCCAAGTGCCTGGATGTGGCAAAGCTACAATAAATATCGAATGGTGAGAGCAATGGAAATTTAACAAAGCCATAACTGAGAGACCTCGGAGGGGCAGCAGGCTGGTTAAGAGGCTGTTGGATGAGTGGGGTAGTATTTCTACTTCCACCTGATTGAAATGTCGACTAAAAATCAATGCTGTTGACTAGTGATAATTTACAACGTTCCTGGTGCTAAGTAGTTCCCCGCTTAAGAATGCGTTGGCTGGGCAGAGATTAGTGCAGGGAGTTGTGTGTGTCACAATGAATCAGACGCATTATAGGTCAGCCCTTTATTTGTTTCATCATGACTTTTACACAGTTGTCATGTAATTTATGGCTGCTTTCACATTGTCAAACATTTTCATTGCAT